TCTGGCGTATAAACTGTTCAGTAAGCAACAGCCAATGCGGGCTATTACTGAGTGGGAAGAGCACATGTGGCTAAAGGGACATGGAAGGAAGAACCAGATTACCACAGACAGACCAGATCAAAATAGAACACTATGAAAAGGGTCCAGACAGGGGGCACTGCAGAGGCTGCTCCGTTCGGCACCTGGGTGGTCAGCCTGTGAGGGAATTCCTGTTGATGGGTAAGTGTGATAATAATTCCGTGGTTACTATTAGGTTGGTGCAAAAGTTACTACAATTTTTCTCATTAAATGTCACGGCAAAAATTGCAATTACTTTTGCACCAACCTAGTAATGCCCCTAACTTTCTGGCAACCATGCTCAAAGTATGCAGTACGGTACTTACTGTTGAGCAAAAATTGCAGCGATGAAGGAAACGTGGTGAAATGTGAAGAATCAGGGAGCCCCGGTGGCAGATGCATGAGTAGCCACTGCCCTGTTCTTTACACATTTCGGTAGTTTTTAAAAGGCTTAAAACTGGCGAGTGTTGCCAGCATCCACCAGGTGGCTTTCATAGTGTTCTGTCTGTGATCAGGCACAGAGAACAGTAGGGAGTATTCATCCATCCTAAGAACCAGAGTGAAAGATGCCCCAAGGCATTTTTTTTTTTTTTTAAGGTGGAGTCTTGCTCTGTAGCCCAGGCTAAAGACAGTGGCGCATCTTGGCTCACTGCAGCCTCCTCCTCCCAGGTTCAACCAATTCTCCTGCCTCCCGCATAGCTAGAATTACAGGCACGTGCCACCGTGCCTGGCTAATTTTTATATTTTTAGTAGAGACAGGGTTTCACCTGTATTGACCAGGCTGGTCTCAAACTCTTGACCTCATGATCCACCTGCCTTGGCCTCCCAAAGTGCTAGGATTACAGGCATGAGCCACCATGGCTGGCCACCCCAGGGCATTTTATATAATATATTGCTACCCGGACCAGAGGGCCCTACTGATCCAGGGCTCATACTGAGTAGCCTGCTAAGCAGCGGCCCACTCCCTGAGAGCCTCCAGCTGGCTGTGCGGCACACCTGTATGGAAGGAAAACAAGTTCCCGGGAAGACCTTGGAATGTGGAATCAAACAGCACCAGATTCCACTCCGGCTTCTCCACTTTCTAAGTAAATCTGAGCAGTGTCCTTCATCATTCTGAGTCCCTGTGTCCTCATCCACACATCGGGAAGTGGTTTTATGGATTCAGGTAGAGACGATTTTAGGTAGCCCAATTCTGGCTTAGATTGTTGCCTGAGCATAAGTAACTGAATTCTACCTATTTGCTCTGATTTTTTAACTAAATATGTACACCCTGTGAGGGGAAAATAAATCTTGGGGTTCCCCTCCATCACTAAGCTAAAGGGAAAGGTCCAGCTGGGAGCTGCTCAGGGCCAACTGCCTCCCGTTCTATTCAAAGTCACCCCTCTGCTCACTGAGATAAATGCGTATCTGATTGTCTCCTTTGGAGAGGCTAATCAGAAACTCCGAAGAATGCAATTATTTGTCCCTTACCTACCCGACCTGAAAGCCCCTTCTCCACTTCAAGTTTTCCCACCTTTCCCAACCGAACCAATGGCCATCTTACATATTTTGACTGATGTCTCATGTCTCCCTAAAACATATAAAATCAAGCTGGGTCGTGACCACCTTGGGCACACATCGTCAGGACCTCCCGTGGCTGTGTCAAGGATGCACATCCTCAACCTTGGCAAAATTAACTTTCTAAATGAACTGAGACCTGTCTCGGATATTTGAGGTTCACAAGCCCGATGACTGCAGGCCCTTGGGTGTCATTCTTGCATCTGAAACAACATACTTAAATCCCTCAAATGAGGACATCGTCCATACTTGGCATCACTGAATGTGGCCATACACTTCACAGACCTCACCCACTCCTCCCAACTTCCTTAAATTTAAAACTTGGGGAGTCCAGTTCCCTACTTCCTCTTTCACCAGGCAGCCCACAGAATCCCAGAGGGTCTTGCAAATTCCCCGCTCAGGACCCTGGCTTCTCACGCTGCCCTCTGAAATGTGTGTCTCTTCCTTTTTCCAACATCCACAATGCTGAACACGGAAGTACAGCAGACAGTGCAACCTCACAGGCAACAAGTCGTGGAAATACAACTTGGGGACAAGACAACTGGGCGTGAAATTCTGGCTTTTCCTTTAATTAGCTAAATTACATAACTTTTCTGAGACTCCGTTACATCATCTGTTAACTGGGTAGAATAATCGGATCTGCACATCTGCAGAGGATGAACGACAGTTTTCACAAAGCGTTTGGTGCAAGATCAATGCTGCATAAATTAGAAGTGATAGAGAAGGCTAAGAGCAAAATGCGGACACAGGGCACTGTGCTCCTGCCAGGAATGAGAGGGGCTGGGAGCACCAAAAATACTCCTCACCTGCTCTCGTCCAAGCTGAGTGAGTCCTTGCAAGTGTGTGCCTTTTTAGAGACTACCACTCTGACAGCCTCACCACAGGATAAAGACGTCAGAGTAGCTCCAGACTTGAACTGCACTCTGGCCAAAAATGCTATATAAAGATTAAGTATGTGACAAAAATTTGTAACAACATCAGCTAATTGCAAAGTTGAGGAAGAGAAAGTAATTAAAGTTAGAGATGAGCCAGCAAGTAATTCACTTAATTGTTAGCATAGAACACTCCCCAGTCTGTAGTCCTCTCTTCCCCTGGTGGGGGAAGGGCTACAGAACGCTTTCACACCTGTGCCAGGTTCCAGGATTCACTTCCTGGAGCTGACAAGGGCTGCCCATTTCACCTGCCACAAAGCAGATCAAAGGAATCTTTCTTTAATGTATTTTCTCTGTGAGTTTCTAAAATTGTTTTTACCCTAAAGAGAGTATTGTCTCTACTGAGCTTGGCTTAAAACTAAAACAGGTAATAGAAATTCTATGGGCAGGTAATCCACAAACAAGACGCATGACCCAAGGTTATAAATACATTGCAGAGACACCATAGCCAAAATCCACATTCCTTCCCAAAAACCACAGATGCAAGCATCCAGGAGTACACTGAGGAAGGGGAGGAAAGCAGCTTAAAGACACCCCAGCGGGGTTTGCAAGTGAAAGAGAATTTCTATTAGGGATGGCTTCTATGTGTCTGTGGGTCTATTCTTTGCTGTTTGGGGGTTTTATTGTTTTTTAACCTGTATAATTTTAAGAGTGTCAAATGAAAAAGTAACGTCATTTATTTTATGCATTAATTGATTCATTGACTGAACAAATATTCCTTTAGCTCTTAGGATGAGCTGTTCGGGGACTGGGGCTCCTGAGAAGTTGCCATCCTGTTTGTATCAGTCTGTTCTCACTTGCTATAGAGAGCTACCTAAGACTGGGTATTTTATAAGGAAAAGATGTTTAATTGACTCACAGTTCTGCAGGCGGTACAGGAAGCAGGCTATACAGGAAACTTACAACCACAGCTGTGAAAGGCATAGAGGAAGCAGGCACATCTTCACGTGGCCAGAGCTAGAGGAAGAGCACAAAGGAGGCGGGGCAACACTCACTTTTAAACAACCAGATCTCACTCACTATCACGAGAACAGCAAGGGGAGATCCACCCCCACGAACTAATCACCTTCCATCAGGCCCCTCCCCCAACATTAGGGATTACAGTTCCACTTGAGATCTGGGCGGAGACACAAGTCCAACCCATATCGCCATAATAGTCTTTATATTTGAAGTGGATAAACACCTTCAGTCATCTCTCTGGAGGTGGATCCTGACCAGTAGGGTCAATAAAACACAAGGCACTGGGCCAGGCTGAAAGCAAAGGGAATGCAGGGAAATGCAGAAACCCTGGCTGTGAGGAGGGGTGGGTAGAGGTGAGAAGCTCACAGGCATCACTTTGCTTTTGTTTTCCTTTTTTTTTTTTTAAGACCTCCCAGGCTGGAGTGCAATGGCACAATCTTGGCTCACTGCAACGTCCGACTCCTGGGTTCAAGTGATTCTCCTCCCTCACCCTCCTGAGTAGCTGGGACTACAGACACTTGCCACCACACCTGGCTAACTTTTGTATTTTTTTTATAGACAGGGTTTCACCAGGTTAGTCAAACTGGTCTCCAACTCCTGACATCAGGTAATCCACCCACCTCGGCCTCCCAAAGTGCCAGCATTACAGATCACCATGCCTGGCTTGATAGTCTTGATTGTGAAAAATATATAGAGAGAATTTGAATGCCCATGAATGTAATGTCTTGGGTTAAACCTCCCTGTTACCCAGGAAATACATCTCTTAGGAAGAGGTAGTGCAGAGACAAAAATTTTAAGTCTTGGGAGACAGGAAGAGGTGGTTTATCTGATGTTTGCATCCTGGAAACATGACCTTCCTTCTGAAGCTGGAATAGAGCTGCCCTCTGCTCTCAACCTTTTGGCGAAACACCCAACGTTGGAGAAACAAAGTCAGACACACACAAATATACATCCAACAAAAAGCCCAGTGCACTGATGATTCTGCCAAATTCCGCACATGCACATCTAAACGTCAACTATTATGGTTGGCACTTTTAAAGGACAGTTGCTCGGGCTCTGAGAAACTGTAATAGGGATATTTGACAAGGGAAGGTCAGCAAAGATTTCTGTGAGGCAGGTGCTGGAGTGGAGATGGGTACGGTAAGAGTTAAGTAGAAAATATGACAGAGGAGGGCCAGGCATGGTGGCTCATGCCTGTAATCTCAGCACTTTGGGAAGCCAAGGCAGGCAGATTACAAGGTCAGGAGATTGAGACCAGCCTGGCTAACACCGTGAAACCCCATCTCTACTAAAAATACAAAAAATTAGCCAGGAGTGAGAGTGCATACCTGTAGTCTCAGTTACTTGGGAGGCTGAAGCAGGAGAATCACTTGAACCCAGGAGGTGGAGGCTGCAGTGAGCCGAGACCACTCCACTGCACTTCAGCCTGGATGACAGAGCAAGACTCCATCTCAAAAAAAAAAAGAAAATACGACAGAGGCTCCAAATAAAAGAAACAACTTGTGGAAAGGATCTCTGGAGAGAGCAGGGACTGGTAGCAGGTGTGGCTCCAGGAACCAGAGAGAGCTGAGGATGTCAGGGAGGGAAGCGATAAGAGAACATGGCTCCCTGCCACATTTTCCCCGGGGTGTTTTGTTGCTGAAAAGGTGTCCTAACTGGTAAGACAAGAGGGCCTGTGATCTCTTTTGTCTTCTCAGGGTGCCATGGGTGTCATAGTTACAATTATAACACTCCTCCTAAGACACATGCTTTCTTCAACATTTCTTTCCAACTAAAACTTACAAAATATAGTAGAATGCCTAATAACAGCCATCTGCGTGTCTGCGTTACAACTTCAACAAATACGCTGGGATATGAATATCAGATTTCACAGAACTATTCCCTGGATACCTACATGGGAAGCTGTATACAAAGTGTACCTGCAAACACGCACTCAAACGTTTAACTACAGTTGAAGATCAACTTTGGAACATAATTTCTCCAAGAAAACAAATAATTATTTCCCAAATGATATTCAGACAAATGTGTTTTCAGTCTTTCAAGATCTTACCAAATAATGATTCAGAGCCTGATTTTTTTTCAACTTCACGAATATTCAAGAAGCTTCTATTTGCCATTAACAACAGTAGTGAAGGAAAACCAAATAGAAGAATGAGGATATCACTTCTCTTTTAATAACAATTATTCACTTTCAAAATGGTCATTACATCTTAACATTGGTAAAGAAAGCTCTGCAGAGACTTCTGACCTCAGTCCAGGGTTCTCAGTGTTATACCGCGGGTGACTCTCCCTTTGGGTTCTTATCATCATCTTTGGAAGCTAAAGGCAAAAATCTGTCAACTCAACCCAGTCAGAGCCGACCTTTCTCCTGACTTCTCCCTAAGACGACAAAACCAAGAGGAAACTGAAGAGCATGGGGTCACGGGGAGCAACGACTCTTTGGGCCTGGTGGCGCCAGAGTAAAAGAATTTACCAAGACAGTTGTAGGATACCCGGGCGCAGTGGCTCAAGCGTGCAATCCAATACTGTGGGAGGCCAAGGCAGGCAGATCACCTGAGGTCAGGAGTTCGAGACCAGCGTGGCTAACAGGGTGAAACCCTGTCTCTACTAAAAATACAAAACTTAGTCGGACGTGGTGGTGGGCGCCTGTAATCCCAGCTACTCAGGAGGCTGAGGCAGGAGAATCACTTGAACACAAGAGACAGAGGTTGCAGGGAGATGAGATTACACCACTGCCTTCCAGTCTGGAAGACAGAGACTCCGTCTCAAAAACAAAAACAAAAAGACAGTCGTTGGTAGAGAAAGGCAGATTTATTAGAGAAAGCAGGAAAATACATTGCAAGGAGACAATAGGCAGGGTCAGTAGAAGAGGAGCCAACTGCTGGGAGACAAAGGCTTGCTGAGGATTTCATAGAACGGAACTCAGCTGATTGAGAACAACAAGGCAGCAGGAAGCTTAACTTGCATTCTTCTTTCAGCCCGGGTGTCTGATAAATGGAGGTGCTTGATGGTGAGCAGGGAGCTTGTGAATTATGTACGCTATCTTTGCAGGAGGGCCATATGTCCTGGGCATTAAAGAAAGGCAGACCTAAAGCCTCTCTGCTTTCTCTCCTTGCTTCCCGCTGCTCAAGAAATAACCGGGTTGCATGACGCAGGGGAGAGCAGAGAGGGGTCCCGAAGATGCTCCCAGTTCCCAGATCCGGAGGGAGACGCACTCAGCTTCCATCCCATTCTTTTCCGATGTGTCCAAGGTTCTTGGGCTTCCTGGCTCCAGGAATGGGGAAGAGGCCCTGGCGCTGTGGGGAGCTTACTGGTGAAGTAAATATTGAACCCAAAGAGTTCTGCAGAGAGTGAATTATTAGGCAGAGGGAGACGGAGAAGTACAGGGAGCTCCCACGGTGTTGGGGAGGCGATCCCAGAGAGGGAAATCCGCACGGGTAAGGTGCGGGGGAGTTTTAACTTTGAAGTTATTCCCGCCCCATTCCTGTTTCTGTCCAATGAGAGGAGTTCTTTTAAACGTCCTCTGGAGTGATTGATCTTTGACTTTGATTCCAGATTGGCTGCTGGGGCCCACAACAGAACACCTCCTTTTGCTGGGCTTTCTGAACAAAGGAAGCTCACCTGGAATTTAACTTAGCCCTGGCGCCCTAGGAAAGTTAGACCAAGAACTGTAGGTTCCCGGATGCGGAGGCGGATGGAGGCATGGCGCTGGGAAGTTTCTGCCTTTGAAATCACGCCCCCTGTGGACCCTGGAAGAGAAGTGAACACAGTCCCTCACTGCCCACCTTTTTCCCTAATTAGAACTCCACACATGGGATCCCTCTGAGGACAAGAGAAGGTCAGGATCAAGTGCCAAGATAAATGGGATCAATCCCCAGCAAGCTGGATCTTCATGGGAGACCTGCTGAGTTTCCACTTCCAAGTAATTCTGTTACTCAATCCAGACCCCAGGACAGGGTTGTCAGATCTCATGCAAGAAAGAATTTGGAGGGAATCCACAGAGTAAAATGAAAGCAAGTTTATTAATAAAGTGAAGGAATAGGCCAGGCGAGGTGGCTCACGTCTGTAATCTTAGCACTTTGGGAGGCCGAACGGGGCAGACCACCTGAGGCTGGGAGTTCAAGACCAGCCTGATCAACATAATGAAAACGTCATCTCTACTAAAAATACAAAATTACCCAGGCATGGTGGCACATGCCTGTAATCCCAGTTACTCGGGAGGCTGAGGCAGGAGACTCACTTGAACCCAGGAGGCAAAGGTTGCAGTGAGCCAAGATCATGCCATTGTACTCCAGCCTGGGCAACAAAACTGAAACTCCATCTCAAAAAAAAAAAAAAAGTAAGTAAAGGAATTTAAAAAATAAATGGCGACTCCCTAAGCAGAGCAGCCCCAAGGCCTGCTGGTCGGCTATTTTTATGGTTGTTTTTGATCATATGCTAAAGAAAGGGTGGATTATTTATGAGTTTTCTGGGAAAAGGGTGGGGAATTCCCAGAACTGAGGGTTGCTCCTCCTTTTGGAACATATAGAGTGGCTTCTGGATACTGCTGTGGCATTGACAAACTGGCCTAGTGCTGGTGGGAGTGTCTTTTAGCAGCTGATGAATTACAATTAGCAAATAATGAGCAGTGAGGATGACCTAAGGCTGCTTTTTTTGCCTCTTGGTTTTGGTGGATCTTGGCTGGCTTTTTTTTTTTTTTTTTGAGACGGAGTTTCGCTCTTGTTACCCAGGCTGGAGTGCAATGGCTCACCTTGGCTCTCCTGCCTCAGCCTCCTGAGTAGCTGGGATTACAGGCACGCACCACCACGCCCAGGTAACTTTTTGTATTTTTAGTAGAGATGGGGGTTTCACCATGTTGACCAGGATGGTCTCGATCTCTTGACCTCGTGATCCACCTGCCTCCCTAAAGTGCTGGGATTACAGGCTTGAGCCACCGCACCCAGCCACCTGGCTTCTTTATTGCATCCTGTTTTATCAATGGGATCTTTGTGGCCTGTATCTTGTGCCAACCTCCTGTCTCATCCTGTAAGAATGCCTGATGTCCTGGGGACACAGCCCAGCAGGTCTCAGCTTCATTTCTCCCAGCCCCTGTTCAAGCTGGAGTCGTTCTGGTTCCAACGTTTCTGACACTTTCAGTGCCCACAGACCCTCAGTTTACCTGAGACTAGCCTGGCTAACATGGTGAAACCCCGCCTCTACTAAAAAAAAGGAGGTGTTCTGGATGTTTTCAGGTCCTCTCCTGAAAAAAAATCACTCGTCCGTTATCAGAAGAATTCTTTGACTAATCTATAAAGCACGCAAATGAAATTCATCATGTGCATATGCACAATGTTCCAGCTTGCCGGGCACATCTATATTTTAATGATAAAAGAATAGTAATTGCTTGATGGTGACACGTGCCTCTTGGCCGGCTATCGTGGGCATACTGGAGAAAGGAAATGTAGTCTAGCACTATTCCCGCTTCACATCAGCTTTGACATGGACACTTCAGTTTCAATTGCGATCTTAAGGTAGGAAGCTACCTTTTTTATTTTCCAACTGTGCAAACTAAAAATAGGATTCAGCTAAAGTAAATAATGACCTGGATCTGAGAGCTCAGCATAACAATTAAAGTTCACGGATTTAGAATGAATACGCAGAAGATTCACATTTCAGTGAAAATGTGAATTAACACAGGACCATTTAATTGAAGATGGAAAACATTAGAAGCCATTAAAGAATATTGATTTCCAGAAGTAATGGCAATGTGAGAACCAGAAGCAGAAATTGAGAAGGGTACAAGGCTGGGGGTGTCTGATTCATTCCAGCTGGGGACTGTGATGAAAAAGTGCAATTCCCTTGCATAATTTAGTGCTTTTTGTCAGTTAAAAATGATAACATTCTGTATTCTTGGCTGTGACTTAGTTCTTTATTTTTTTTTTGAGACAGAGTTTTGCTCTTGTTACCCAGGCTGGAGTGCAATGGCGCAATCTCGGCTCACCGCAACTTCCACCTCCTGGGTTCAGGCAATTCTCCTGCCTCAGCCTCCTGAGTAGCTGGGATTACAGGCACGTGCCACCATGCCCAGCTAATTTTTTGTATTTTTAGTAGAGATGGGGTTTCACCATGTTGACCAGGATGGTCTCGATCTCTTGACCTCGTGATCCACCTGCCTCGGCCTCCCAAAGTGCTGGGATTACAGGCATGAGCCACGGCGCCCGGCTCGACTTAGTTCTTAAACAGTGATGAATAGGATACAGTCATGAACACTCTCCAAGCAGCTCATTCTGTTTCATTCTACCTATTTAAGACTGAAGACAATTGTTGGTGGCAACCCATGATTGAAAATACAAAACACCGGCTTAGAGAACATCAGGGTTCGCATGGACCTTTAAGACTGTCAAATCCAACCCTCAGAATTTCCAGATGAATTAATTGGGACTAAGAGGCAGGAGGAGAAATTCCTTCCTGTAAGGACAGAGCCAGGGATGCAGACTCTAACCTACGCAGCTCCAGCTTGTTGTGGCTCACATTCACCCCTCCTGTTCTGCAGAGAGCAAAGGCACTAAGCCTTGTCCAAGCAAAGGGAAAATACGCAATATAATGAAAATCATCCCCAATTGCTGGTTTATCTTTTTCACGCTGGCTTTCCCATGACCCTTCCTTCTCTGTCAGCCTTTTGACCAGAGATTGGCACACATTATCTGTAAAGACTAAATATTTAGGTGATAAGGTCGGGCCCAATGGCTCATACCTGTAATCCCAGCACTTTGGGAGGCCAAGGCAGGCAGATCACCTGAGGTCAGGAGTTCGAGCCCAGCCTGGCTAACATGGCGAAACCCTGCCTCTACTAAAAATACAAAAAATAGCTGGGCATGGAGGCACATGCCTGTAGTCCCAGCTACTCAGGAGGCTGAGGCAGGAAAATAGCCTGAACCCAGGAGGCGGAGGTTGCAGTGAGCTGACATCACACCACGTCACTCCAACCTGGGCAACAGGACAAGAAAGAAGGCAAAAAAAGAAAAAAGGAAAGCAAGAGAGAAAGAAAGAGAAAGAGAAAAAGAAAGAGGAAGGAAGGAAGGAAGGGAGGGAGGGAGGGAGGGAGGGAGGGAGGGAGGGGAAAGAAAGAGGGAGGGAAAGAAAGAGGGAGGGAAAGAAGGGAGGGAAGGAAGGAGGGAGGGGGAAGGAAGGAAGAAAAGGAAGGAAAGAAGGAAGGAAGGAAAAGAAAAAAAGAAAGAAAGGAAAAGAAAGAGGGAAGGAAGGGAGGGAGGCAAAGGGAGAGAAAGAAAGAGACAGGGAGGAGGGAGGGAAGGAAGGAGGGAGGGAGGGAAGGAAGGAAGGAAAGGAAGGAAAGAATGAAGGAATGAAGGAAAAGAAGAAAGTAAGAAAGAAGAAAGAAAAAGAAAGAAAGAAAGAAAGAAAGAAAGAAAGAAAGAAAGAAAGAAAGAAGAAAATAAATTAGTACTGTATCACAAACCCCCGTAGCAGAACACATCTCTCCCCATACATACCAGCATGGTACCGGGGGTGGACGCACTCCTCCTCTTGCTCTCAGAAACGTCCTATGCTGGCTATGGAGTAGCTGTCCTCTCACCACTGTGCTTTCTTAATAAACTTGCTTTTGCTTTGCACTCTGGACTCGCCTTGAATTCTTTCTTGAGAGAGATCCACGAACCCTCTGTTGGGGTCTGGGTGGGGACGCCTTTTCTGTAACAGTATGGAAGCCACCGTTGAGGATATGCAAATCAGAAACAGGCTCAGGCCTGATTCACCCCAAGCTGAAGTTCTCCTACCCCTGCTCAGTAGGACAGCCTGTGTCCTTCAAAGCACATCTTACTGTTTGAGATGACCTGCTCTGTTTCCCTGTATATTAAGTGCTTTCCCAGCTGGAATGAATCCTTCATGTGTGGGCAGAAGCTTTGACTCTCAAATTCCCTCTTATTCCGCGATCAGCACATATGACACTGCCAGCTGTTTGTTGAATGAATAAAGTACATTAAAGATGCATTGACCTTTCAAGCAAGCAGGCCGTGGTTAACTTTTTTTAAATTTTTTGTCACGGGAAAAGCTTGAAACTTGTTCTAGTTTACTACAGCAAACCTTATATAACAGCTGAGCAGATGGTATAAGCAAGGATTCCTCCGGAGAGAGTTCCCCCAGAGTCTCACTGCTAAGAATTAAAAATATTACTTTTCAAGGACACTTGGCCCCGAAGACTTCTAAAGCCACTGAATTGCTGACAGCAGGACAAGGCACAAGGACAGGGAACACAACCGTTTTCCTTTGTTCTGGCTTTCTCTTTTATTTAAAGTCTAAATGTCAAACATTAAAACTTACCTGATTCAACTTGGCTAAACAGAGCGCAGCATGACCCAGTGAGACACAAAGAACTAACCCTCCTATTGAGGGTAACAGAGGAGCTAGCAGGATTAGGAAAGTGAATTTCAGAAATCCCAGAAAAGGGCTGTTTGACCCACCTTTTACTCAGTGTGGATTTTTTTTAAAGATGTTTGGTTTGTTTATTAACTAAAACATCTATAAAATTATACCCAATTTCTCATTCAAGCAGGTAACTCTTCTATGTAATCACACTCCTCTTAGTTATAAATCTGGTTATTAGAAGTTAATGAGATGAGTGCTATCTTTAATCTGATACTTTATCATCTATATTATAAAGTCAGATCTTTAGAAAAATCTGTTTAAATAGTCAAACAGAATTCTAGTGAAGGATAGCACAACAAATAATTTTACATGTAGAAAATGTCTGCCAAGAATAATAACATCTTCCATTTTACACGCTCAGTAATTCATCAGGAGAGTTTAATTAGCTTACTTGATCTTTACGAAAACTCTGTGACATCATGAAGCAGGAATTACGACGTCCACTTCACAGACAAGAAAACACAGATTCTACTAAGGTCTTTAGCCAAGGTCACATTTGACTAAGCAAGGGCTGACCAGAGCCAAGATCTGCTGGACCCCAACAGAGTGTGCTTCTTCCTCAACAGTCTGCCTTGGCGAGCACTCGGAAAGATCCAGCACCAGGTAATTTTCACTGTTAGGAAAGCTCAGAATCCTTCTGACTGGGGGATTATTTCATTATTTTCCACAGAAGCCATCAAACATCCATAATAACTAAAGCAGGACAGAGTGGATCAACAGGAAAAATACCAGAATACCTAGGTAAATAACAGAAAGATATTTGAAACATTCCCAAATATTTCAAAGTTAAAAAGCTTCCTTCTGAATAACCCATGAATCAAGGAGGGGATCACAAGGGAAATTAGAAGATATTTTTCATTAATTAAAAATACAAACATATCAAAATTGGTGGAGGACAACTGAATGAGTTCTTAGAGGGAAATTTATAGAATTCAGTACTAGCATAACAAAAGAAGATCTCAAATCAATGATCTAAGCTTTCACTTCAAGAAACTAGGAACAAATAGCAAAGTAAACCCAGAGAAAGCAGAAGGGAGAAAATAATTGAGAGTAATTAATGAAATAGGAAAACATCAGAGAAAAGTCAATGAAACCAGAAGCTCATTCTTTAAAACCTCAATAAAAGTAATAAATCTCTAGCCAGACTGATGAGAGAGACAGAGGGAGAGAAATAACAAATTGCTGACAGCAGGCCTGAGAAAAAGGATGTTACTACAGATAACGTAAGTCCCACAACATACACGAAATGGGAAAATTCCTTGAAAGACATAAGCTACCGAAGCTCAATCAAACATAAATAACCTCAAAAATTCTATCAAAATTAAAGAAATTGAATTTATAGCTTAACATCTTACAAAGAAAACTCCGAGCCCAGTTGACTTCACTGGTGAAGTCCCCTAAAAATGTGATAATGAAATAATAAAAATTCTACATATTTGTTCAGAAAATAAAAAATTAAACATCACTTCCAAACTCCTTATATGAGACTCTGATACTAAAATGAAACAGATATATAAGAAGAAAAAAAAAACTATAGACCATAAACAATAACCATAAAAATCATTAACAAAATATTAGCAAACCGAAGCCAGCAAGATATGAAAAGAAAAATATCCATGACCACCACCACCAAGTGATATTTATCCTAAGAATGAAAATTGGTTTGAAATTTAAAAATCCAGAATATAATTTACTATATTCATAGACTAAACTGCAAAAAAACTGATTATATTAACACATGTGTGAAAAGAATTGATAAATTTTGATATCCACTGATGATTAAAAACTCTCAGAAAACTAGGAATAGGAAATAACTTTCTCAGTGAGGAATTTCTGTTATACTTTTTTTCTCCATTACACTCTTGTTTGAGGCAGTCACAAGCTCACCTAGAGTCAAGAGAAAGAAGCATGGACGCCATTGCCTAATGGCAAGAGTGACAAATAATTTTCAGTTAAAAAACCACCACAGACCATTTTCTGGTAACAAATTATTGAAATTTCTTTCACATACAAAAACCACCATAGACCATCTTCTGGCAACAAATTATTGAAATTTCTTTCACATACAAAATTCACACATCACCCTTCCAAGATCCCATTTGAGATACCAAAAATGATGCTGCGTAGCTTCAGAAGCTGAGCCGTCAAGGCCATAAAGCTTTCCTTTTGTTTACTGGAGCTCTCATGCTTTGAGCCCTGAGACACCCTGTAAGAATTCCAACCATCTCAAGGCCACCATGTTGTGAGGAAGTCCAAAACCACACGAAGAAGTCACATCGCACCCTTTAGCTGACAGGTCACCTGAGGTCCCAGATTCTGTGAAGCAAAAACAAATCATGTCAGTAATATACTGTCTGAATCCTAACTCGCAGAATACTATAAGCCTATAAAATGGTTGTATTTTGCCGTCACTAAATTTGAAAATACTTTATTAGGCAGCAATAGATTATTGGAAAAATTTGCAACTGGGACGTCATCATTGCTTTCTTTATTACTCCCTTCTTTCCAGCCAAAAGAAGTCAGCAATTCTTCCCACTAATATCGAGTTTGCCAATTTATATTCAAGATATCCACAATTCTCAAATTTTTAAACCCATATACTCCAGATAAGCACAAAAATGTTACACCCTATTTTATGTTACCTGAAATTTCAAAATAAATTTTTACAACTTCATTTTAAAAATTCATAAAAAAAACAAAGAGCTACTGTTCCTTTGAGTCCTACACCTCTCTAGACCCTAATCAATTCCCTAATGCTGAATGCCATGTTAATCACTAAGCTGTCCTTTCCTGTCCATTCTGGTAATTGATTGAGAGAAAGAATTAATTTCCATGTCTACTATAATACATTTATTTCCAAAAACTCAATCACTTGGGAATACCATCCAGTATTTCCAATTGTACTGCAATGTTTTCATTTGCTAGTTCTCCCCAAAAGTATAATCCAGAATTTTGATTGGCTACTTACTGGTAATTATTTATGTTATACTATATCAAAAAATTAAACAAATAAGGAAACATAAGTAAACTACAAGTGTAATTGTAAAACTTTGTTGTAAAGAAAGAATTTTTCATTGATCATCTGGCAGATTATTTTTTCCTTCCTTTAAAAACTTCAGGCCAATATCCATGATGAACATAGATACAAAAATCTCCAATAAAATACTGGCAAACTGATTGCAACAGCACATCAAAAAACTTATCTATCGGCCGGGCGCGGTGGCTCAAGCCTGTAATCCCAGCACTTTGGGAGGCTAAGGCAGGAGAATTGCCTGAACCCAGGAGACGGAGGTTGCGGTGAGCCAAGATCGCACCATTGCACTCCAGCCTGGGTAACAAGAGCGAAACTCCATCTCAAAAAAAAAAAAAAAAAAAAGCTTATCCATCATGATCAAGTAGACTTCATCCTGGGATGCGAAGCTGATTCAACATACACAAGTCTATAAATGTAATCCACCACATAAACAGAACCAAAGACAAAAACCACATGATTATCTCAATAAATGCAGAGAAGGCCTTTGACAATATTCAACAGCCCTTTATGCTAAAAACTCTCAATAAACTAGGTATAGACAGAACATATCTCAATATTTATGACAAACCCACAGCCAATATCATATTGAATGGGCAAAAACTGGAAGCATTCCCTTTGAAATCTGGCAATAGGCAAGAATGCCCTCTCTCACCACTCCTATTCAATATAGTATTTGGAGTTCTAGCCAGAGCAATCAGGCAAGTAAAGAAATAAAGGATATTTAGTTAGGAAAGGAGGAACTCAAATTGTCTGTATTTGCAGACAACATAATTATATATTTAGAAGACTCCATCATCTCAGCCCAAAATCTCCTCAAACTGATAAGCAACTTCAGCAAAGTCTTAGGATACAAAATCAGTGTGCAAAAATCATAGGCATTCCTATACACTAATAGCAGACTAAAAACCAAATCAAGGGCAAACTCCCATTCACTATTGCTACAAAGAGAATACAATACCTAGGAATACAACCAACAAAGGATGTAAAGGACCTCTTCAAGGAGAACTACAAACCACTGCTCAAGGAAATAAGAGAGAACACAAACAGATGGAAAAACATTCCATGCTCATGGTTAGGAAGAATCAATTTTGTGAAAATGGCCATACTGCCTAAAGTAATTTATAGAGTCGATGCTATCCCCATCAAGCTTCCTATGACCCTCTTCACAGAACTGGAAAAAACCACCTTGAACTTCTTACAGAACCGAAAGAGAGCCTGCAAAGCCAAGACATTCTTAAGCAAAAAGAACAAAGCTGGAGGCATCATGCTATCTGACTTCAAACTATACTACAAGGCCACAGTAATCAAAATAGCATGGTACTGGTACAAAAATAGACATGTAGACAAATGGAACAGAACAGAGGCCTCAGAGGCAACGCCACACATATGCAACCATCTGATCTTTGATAAACCTGACAAAAACAAACAATGGGGAAAGGAATCACTGTTTAATAAATGGTGTTGGGAAAACCACTTAGCCATGTGTAGGAAGCAGAAACTGGACCCCTTCCTGACACCTTACACTAAAATTAACTCCAGATGGATTAAAGACTTAAACATAAGACCTAACATTATAAAAATCCTAGAAGAAAACCTAGGCAAAACCATTCAGGACATAGGCATAGGCAAGGGCTTCATGACTAAAACACCAAGAGCATTGGCAACAAAAGCCAAAATAGACAAATGGGATCTAATTAAACTCCAGAGCTCTGTACAGCAAAAGAAACAATCATTAGAGTGAACTGGCAACCAACAGAATGGGAAAAAATTTTTGCAATCTACCCCTCTGACAAAGGGCTAATATCCAGAATCTACAAAGAACCAAAATAGATTTACAAGAAAAAAAACAACCCCATTCAAAAGTGGGTGACAGATATGAGCAGACACTTTTCAAAAGAAGACATATATGAGGCCAACAAACATATGAAAAAAAGGTTATCATCACCGGTCATTAGAGAGATGCAAATCAAAACCACATTGAGGTATCATCTCACGCCAGTTAGAATGGTGAACATCAAAAAATCTGGAGACAACAGATGCTGGAAAGGATGTGGAGAAATAGGAACACTTTTACACTGTTTTTGGGAGTGTAAATTAGTTCAAACATTGTGGAAGACAGTGTGGCAATTCCTCAAGGACCTAGAAATAGAAATTCCATTTGACCCAGCAATCCCATTACTGGGTATATATCCAAATGATTATTAATCATTCTATTATAAAGACATATGCACACATATGTTCATTGCACCACTGTTTACAATAGCAAAGACCTGGAACTAACCCAAATGCCCATTGATGATAGACTGGACAAGGAAAATGTGGCACATATACACCATGGAATACTATGCAGCCATAAATAATGATGAGTTCGTGTCCTTTGCAGGATGTGGATGAATCTGGAAATCATCATTCTCAGCAAACTGATACCAGAACAGAAAATCAAACACCACAAATTCTCACTCATAGGTGGGTGTTGAACAATGTGAACACATGGACACAGGGAGGGGAGCATCACACGCTGGGGTCCATTATGGGGGACTACAGGAGGGACAGCAGGGGGTGGGGAGGCCAAGGAGGGATAACATGGGGAGAAATGCCAGATATAGGTGATGCGCAGATGGAGGCAGCAAATCACATTGCCATGTACGTACCTATGCAGCAATCCTGCATGATCTGCACATGTACCCGAGAACCTAAAGTGCAATAAAATATATATATAACTTCCAAATACTCTCAAATCTTTTTTTTAATCACATGAGAGTCCTCAAGGACAATAGAGAGCATGCAACAGACCATGAGGATAGGGCTCTGCTGGCCGCCTGTTGTGCAAAGGTGTCATTTATCTTTTCCCTCTGTGATCTTCACATCCTCTTTTGGCGTCAATGTGGTCTGTGTTTTATTCATTTGAGGTTAAAAATGCTAAGGGACTTTGGTTTTCATTTTGAAGTATAAGAGACATTTTCAGGTTTCTAAAAAAAAGACACTTGGTGACAATCAAGCAGCTTACTTTAAAATTCTTTAATCAGCTCAGAGAGTTAATTAGTCACTTTGCAGCCCCATGCCTGTGGGTAAAGTAGGCCCACCATCCATATATATTCTGTTTCATTCAAAAACGATACTGATAAGAGAAAAAATTATTCAGACATTTCAATTAACTCATCCCAATGCTCCTATTTGAATGCCAGATTATCACCTGGTACTTAGATAGCAATTCAGTTTTAATCTTGATAGGTATAAACGTATGCATGAAACAGAGGTAAACATATACATACATAATTAGGACATCATTTTGAAATATTAACCAGAAGATTGTTACTTTTCCACCATTTAAAGTAGACAATGATGGGAGGCTAAGGTGGGAGGGTCACTTGAGACTGAGAGTTCACGACCAGCCTGGAAAACAGTGAGACCCCAGACCTCTATCTCTAAAAAATAGGAATAGAAAGAGGTGGGTGCAACTTTAAACAGAATGGTCATGGAAGGTCTCCCTGAAAGAGTTACATTTGAGCAACAACAGGAAGGAGATGAGAGATAGGGCCATGTGAATATCGAAGAAGAGCACAAATAAGATAAAATAAAGTAGGCGATAAGGCTGGAGGCTTATTACCAAAAAGACCCAAAAATAAAAATAAAAATAAAAATAAAAAGGGTGTAAAGTCTTGGCTACAAGTATCATTTGTTAATGGATTTTTTCTTTCCTCTAGTCTCTCTCCATTTATCTTCCAGGGCCTTAAAAAAATCTCCCTCTGGGCCCAGCACAGTGGCTCAAGTCTGTAATCCCAGCACTTTGGGAGGCCAAAGTGGGTGGATCACTTGAGGTCAGGAGTTTGAGACCAGCCTGGCCAACATGGCAAAACCCTATCTCTACTAAAAATACAAAATTAGCCAGGCATGATGGTGCACACCTGTAATCCCAGTTACTTGGGAGCCTAAGGTGGGAAAATCACCTAACCTGGGAGGCAGAGGTTGCAGTGAGCCAAGATTGTGCCACTGTACTCCAGCCTGGGTAACAGAGAGAAATATTTTTAAAAATCTTCCTCTGGAGCTGTGCTAGGGCTCCCCCCAAATTCTAGTTACTTCATTAGGCGTTCATTTAACAAATGTGATCAGCTGCCTACCATGGGCCAGGACTGGGCTACAGAAATGGATGAAACAAAATCACCTACCTTTTTGGAGTTTGCAGTCTAGATGAGCAATACAGACAAGAATCAGACAAGAAAGTGTAAGGCAGCCAGGCGCAGTGGCTCATGCCTGTAATCCCAGCACTTTGGGAGGCCAAGGCGGGTGGATCAGGAGGTCAAGAGATCAAGGCCATCCTGGCCAACATGGTGAAACCCTGTCTCTACTAAAGATACAAAAATTAGCTGGACATGGTGGCATGCGCCTGTAGTCCCAGACACTCAGGAGGCTGAGGCAGAAGAACGACTTGAGCCTGGCAGTCAGCCAAGATCGCATCCTGCACTCCAAGCTGGTGACAGAGCAATACTCCATCTGGAAAAAGAAAAAAAAAGAAAGCATAAGGCATGTTGTATGGTCCAAAATGCTGCAGAGAAAAATAAAGGAGAAAAGAGGAATGGAAAGAGGTAGGTGCAACTTTAAACAGAATGGCCATGAAAGGCCTCCCTGAAAGTCACACTTAAGCAACAAATGGAAGGAGATAAGAGATGGGGCCATGTGGACATCAAGGAAGAGAACAGACCAGGCAACAAGAACAGCCTGTGCAAAGGCCCTGAGGCAGAAAACTGTCTGGGTTCTCAAAGAAAAGCAAGGACACCAGTGTGGCAGGGGAACATGAGCCACAGTGCAAGAATCAGAGGAGAGACTGGAGCCTTCAGAGGACACCAGCCCTTTGAGGCCCTGCAGCCCACATAGGAGTGAGACAGGAGGGCACCAACACCCCGTGACCAAGGGCGAGATGACCTGAGAGGAGGGGCGGAAGGGATAGAAGCAAGCAGAGTGCTGAGAGGGCTTCATGAGCATCAAGGAAGAGACCGTTGCAGCTCCACGCAGGTGCGGCACAGGGTGCCATGGATCGAGGTGGTGAGAGGCAGTCAGATTCTGAGCACACTGTGACGCGATGCTGACAGCACTGGCAGTTGTATTAGAAATGGGGTCTATAGGAAAACGGAAAGTCGCAACTCCACCGTCAGTGGCCCACACACCTGGAAAGATGGGGTTTCCGTCTGAGATGGGGAAGAATCCCAGAGGAAGGGATTTAAGGGGAAGATCAGTGATGTAGCAAAGGCGCTTTCAGGTGATTCTGTCAATTGTCACTTCCCTAAAGGAAAAAGAAAACAACTTCACCTACATGTTTATTTATGTATTTTTTAAGTGAAAGAACCATCTCCTTCATCTCTGATACTACACACACAAAAAAAAAAAAAAAAAAAAACCCTTGAGATCAACTTTTTAAGAAGGAATTACTTCAAAATAAAAATAAAAAATTGCTCCAACCCGGAAGGAGCACTCAAGTTGTGGAATATTTTTTTCTCTTCATTCTAAAGTTCTGCCTCCAAGAAATCACTTTTATAGGTAGAGTCTTGATTTCCCCAAATTAGCAATGCCACGAAGTTCTATTTTTATGAGTAACTTGCAGAGGTGTTTGTGAATATGTACACATGTGTGGACATAAAGGAATGGCTATTATTTTGAAGGCATATATATTTTATACCTGAGAACCACAGCATTTGAAAAAAAAAAGAGGCTTGAAGCATTGGTCATCATTTCTGATTTGCGTATCACAGCGGAATTAGATAGCAATGCATCACTGATGATGCAGGTTGCTTTCTTTATGAAATAGTCGATTAATCATATTCCCTTTCACTGCCTAGTAAAGTCAAATCGCGATTTAAAAGATAAAACTCACACCTACTGCCCCTCATTCTTCTTTCCATCAGTCACCTAAAGCTTACTGAGTTTAATGGTCTGTGAAACGTTCTCCAAGAGTATGGGAAAGTTATGGGAAGCGATCAATACTGCTTTCCTCATTTTCCCCCATCCCCTTCAAGATAATGCATAAATTTCTCTCAATATACTGAATACTCTTCTTCCTCCAAGGGCTCAAATGACAGAAAGAGAAAATGCTTACCATGGTCAGGTTTTATGCTGCCATAACTAACTGTTCAATCAATAAGCAACTTCAAAAGTGGCCTGCTTAGAGAAACGGCTCCTGGCAGCAAGGTGTTCCTATTATGCAGAAGTTAGGCAGCAGCCTGGAATTCTATGAATTGGATATGAGGCCACAGGCTTCTTTATTTCTAAATGGAGAGCATGCAACAGCCAATGTCACTGGAGGCAATCCATAAAGCCGTAGTCCTATCACAGGGACTACTTCCAAAATGACCTACTCAGAAAGCTAATGTTCCCTGTAGTACAGAGAAGGAGAAAATAATGAACTATGGCCCCCATAAAACACTTTGATAAATACCTGGTTTAACAGGCTGCTACATCAGGATTAATCTTATCTGGGCCCAGTCCTCCTCCGAAGTTAGCTGCTACTATCAATGGATGGTAACCAAATGAGGAGAAATTATTTTTATTCCCCAAGCATGAAAAATATCTACAAGCAGCATCTACTTACAATAGAATACCATGTTGTTCTCCAAAGCAGGAAAGTCTGGTCTTTGCTCCATTGAGAAGATTCTAATCCTAAGTTTATATAACTGGCAATATCTTTACCATAAACCTCTGGTCGAAGCTGCCATGTTTTATTTTAACTGGAATTATTTCTAAGCAGACTCTAAGCGCACCAAGGACAGGGACATGGACATAATCATTTTTGCATGCTTTACAGGGGCTAGGAAAACTTCCTACTGCAGGCTAGACATGGAATATATTTGCTGACTGCTTAAAATATCTACTCTACATTATCAATGTGTTATATTGAAAATACTGCAGAAAAGCTGGGAGTGATGGCTCATGCCTGTAATCCCAGCACTTTGGGAGGCTGAGAGAGGCAGATCATGAGGTGAAGAGATTGAGGCCAGCCTGGCCAACATGGTAAAACCCTGTCTCTACTAAAAATACAAAAATTAGCTGGGCATGGTGGCATGCACTATAGTCCCAGCGACTCTGGAGGCTGAGGCGTGAAAACAACTTGAACCCAGGAGGCAGAGGTTGCAGTGAGCCGAGATCGCACCACTGCACTCCAGCCTGGTGACAGAGTGAGACTCCATCTCAAAGTTGACAAAGACGTGGTTGTTGTTCCTTTGGATATTTCTGCTAAGAAATCAGCACAGAATGTTACTTCAATAGTACCACCCAAGAGCCCAATACTAAAAAAAAAAAAAAAAACAAACTCCTTCCCACAAACCTTAATCATTCTGATACGTGCTGGGACTCCTTCAATTACCAGGCACAAAAGCAGATCTCAGAGTAAGGTAATATCCTGGAGGTATGTTTTTCTCCTCAGAAACTAATAAGGGCACTTACCCCCTTGGGAAACAGTGAAGCAACTGGAACCATCATTGCAACATTGCAAGGAATTTCTAACAGCCATTTGTGTCCTCTTCTGAGCATAGAAGGTTCCTAAGTATTTTGGAGTTGTGAGGAGTCCCATGAAGGTGCCACCAGAAAATTTCTTTCTACACTGATTTCCCCCCATGCCGCCCACTGTACGCTTCTCAAGGTCAAAGGCCACTGACTCCACAAAGCATCTGACAGTGTGCAGGATACGGGCTAAGCTTCTACAAAACAGAGGTCCACAAATACTGTGGTTAAAAATAGAGAGATGACTTCTCTGCTTACTGTTATATCGAGGTCAGTGGCTGGGCTAGGGCACCGGGGCTCATTTGCACTCACTTTGTCACTTGACCCCCTAGGGACGTGGGCTTCATCCACACAGGAAGCTGGAATGAAAGCTGCCCATCTGTGAGCCCTGCCCAGCCTGCTACTAGGCTGCTGGCCAAGGATGGCAAGGCTGAAGGCAAGGCTGCCAAGGGCAGGAGGAGGCTCATAAACAAGACAACCTATTATGTCACGGGAAGGCTTGTCTCTGAAAACAGCCGCCTCCCCGGCTCCTTAGAAAATGTGGATTCTACCGGGTGCAGTGGTTCACACCTGTAATCCCAGCATTTTGGGAGGCCAAGGCAGGCGGATCATCTGAGGTGAGGAGTTCAAGACAAGACTGGCCAACATGGTGAAACCCTAAAACCCCGTCTCTACTAAAAATACAAAAAAAAATTAGCCAGGTGTGGTGGCGTGCACCTGTAGTCCCAGCTACTCAGGAGGCTGAGGCAGGAGAATCACTTGATCCCAGGAGGCATAGGTTTCAGTGAGCTGAGATCGTGCCACTGCATTCCAGCCCGGGCAACAGAGCAAGACTCCATCTCTCTCTCTCTCTCTCTCTCTCTCTATATATATATAGATTCAAGAATCCCAAGGAAGAGCCAGGTGGGCCTCTCATGACACCCTCTCCCAGGGAAGGCATGGGGCAGGTGCTACCTGCTCGTGAGACTAATGCCCCAGCTGGCTGCAGAGAACCCTGTCCCTCCAAGTGGGTGAAGGTGGGCAGGAGGTGGATTGCACAGTGGGCTGGGCCATCTGCTCATTCTAGCACCCCTGGTTTGCTGACACTGTTTATGCTCATGCTTGCACCTGCCCAGGACCCCACGCTGTCCTCTGCTGTTAACTGCAGACATCCACTGGCACTCCTGGTGAAGCTGCCCCCATGCCCAGCACCACAGCCACTTCCTAGGATCTGGAACAAACAGAGTGAAGGGTGGGCATCCTCCTTTCTAAATGAGGTGATTGGGGATTTGCACGCATCACATCTGCTCAGATCCATCTTCTAGGACATGGGCTGGCCAGCCTTGTCCTCAGGTGACTTGTCCCCTAAAGAGCTTTACTACTAAAAGAAAGAAGGGGGACATGGACCTTCAGCATCCACTGATAGCCCCTGGCCCCACCTTCTCTAACTTATGGGTCTTCATCTCTCTCCCCAGGTTTCTGTCTCTTCTTTGTAAAGTTCAGCTTTCTTGGTCAGGCACCATGGCTCATGCCTGTAATCCCAGCACTTTGGGACGCCAAGGTGGGTGGATGACCTGAGGTCAGGAGTCCGAGACTAGAAACCCTGTTTCTACTAAAAATACAAAAATAATCTGGGTGTGGTGGCAGGTGCCTGTAATCCCAGTTACTCAGGAGGCTGAGGCAGGAGAATCACTTGAATCCAGGAGGCAGAGGTTGCAGTGAGCCAAGATGGCACCAGTGTACTCCAGCCTGGGTGACAGAGCAAGACTCCATCTAGAAAAGAAAAAAGAAATTCACCTTACTTAACAAGTGGAAGACACCTTTCCCCTGTTCTTTCGCTACCTGATATTGCCAGCACTTCTCTCCCAGGAGAATGCCAGGCCTTGAGGGAGTGGATTGGCTGTTTTTTTAATGTACATCTGGAGCTTCATGCCTTTGTAGATGTGGACAGAGTGACAGATACATACATATACACATTTATATGAAAAAGGTCAGAGGACGCAATATTAGCAGCGCATACCTCAGGTTTGGAATTAGCAAGTAACATTTAACATTTTTTTGTCTTGTTTTATTTTATTGAGACAGGATCTCACTCTGTCACCCAGACTGGAGTGCAGTGGCACAATCTCCGCTCACCGCAACCTCCACCTCCCAGGCTCAAGTGAGTCTCCTGCCTCAGCCTCCCGAGTAGCTAGGATTACAGGAGCCTGCCAGCACGCCAGCTAATTTTTGTATTTTTAGCAGAGATGTGGTTTTACCATGTTGGCCAAGCTGGTCTCAAACTCCTAACCTCAAATGATCCACCCGCCTTGGCCTCCCAAAGTGCCGGGATTACAGGCATGAGCCACTGTGCCCGGCTTGTTTAACCATTTAAGGTATTTTCCTGTGTTTTCCGACTTCCCTACAATGGCTGTTTATTCCTTTCCTAATTAGACATAGCTATCATTTTTTAAATGCTTGTTAAATTAAATAGTCTTCATTGTAGGAGAAAAATTGCCTTAATCTCCATTTTTAAGTCCATAATAGAAATACCTGCTGGGCATGGAGGCTCATTTCTGTAATCCCAGCACTTTGGGAGGCAGAGGCAGGTGGGTCACCTGAGGTCAGGAGTTTGAGACCAGCCTGGCCAATATGGTGAAACCCCATCTCTACTAAAAATACAAAAATCAGCGGGACATGGTGACGGGTGCCTGTAATCCCAGCTACTCAGGAGGCTGAGGCAGGAGAATTGCTTGAACCCAGGCAGTGAAGGTTGTAGTGAGCGGAGATCATGCCCATTCACTCCAGCCTGGGAGACAGAGTGAGACTTTGTCACACAAAAAAAAGAAAGAGAGAGAAAGAAAGACAGAGAGAGAGAGAGAGAGAGAGAGAGAGAGAGAGAGAGAGAGAGAGAGAGAGGAAGAAAGAAAGAAGGAAAGAGAAAGAAAGAAAGAGAAGAAAGAAAGAAAGAGAAAGAAAGAAGAAAGAAAGAAAGAAAGAGAGAGAGAAAGAAAGAGAAAGAGAGAGAAAGAAAGAAGAAAGAAAGAAAGAAAGAGAAAGAAAGACCTATAACATTACTTTGCCTCTTTCTGGTCACACAAAGTATTCTACAAACAAACATAGTCCCATGTAATCTTGCAGGAAAATTACTGTTATTGCCCATTTACACGGGTGAAACTTGAGTCTTTGGAAGTCTAATGTTCTTACATTGCCACTGGCTAACAGGTGAAAGAGAACTCCTTTCTCAGAAGTCTGGAATGATCGTGCCTAACATTTATTAGTGCTTACTATGTGCCAAGTACTGTAAAAATGTAACACGTTTTAATTAACTTAACACTCATATCAAGCCGTGATTTAGGGGCTATTACGATCCCCAAAGCCTGAGGCTACAGAGACAGGCTGAGCGACTTGCCCAGAGTCACAGAGCTTGTTATGGTTCCTTGCCGTGATACTAACTGGCGTCTCTAACTCTCTCTAAATGGCCTCGAGGCTTTCCTTCTGAAGGCCACAGGAATGAAAGGGGTTACTTACTAAAAAGAAATATAAGAATCAGGAAAACTTTTCATTTTCTTAGGTTGCAGGTAAGTTGAACTTTTTAATGGAATGAAAAGCAGTTTGTTCAATGCACAGAGCATCACTGGGGGACCCTTCTGTCACCGTCAGTGTCATTCACAAGACTGAACTTCCGCCTGGCACTTTGAAGTCCCTTGTTACAATCACCACCATCTGCAAGGTCAGGTGGCTGTCCCCTCCTGTTAACAACCATCTGTTTGGATTTCATGTATCTTTACCTGTGCAAACCAACTGATGCTCCCCATTGTCCAAATGGTCTCAAATTTTTAAAATACTCAACCTATTCAGTTAGAGTCTAGAGATGTCTTGCCTCATGCATTACCTGGAGGATTGAAAGTTGGTACAGAGCAGAGCACAGTGACACTCCTGTAATCCAACACTTCAGGCAGATCACCTGAGGTCAGGAGTTCAAGTCCAGGCTGGCCAACATGGTGAAACCCCATCTCTACTAAAAGTATAAAAATTAGCCAGGTGTGATGGCACATGCCTGTAATCCCAGCTACTTGGCAGGCTGAGGCAGGAGAATTGCTTGAACCCGAGAAGTGGAGGTTTCAGTGAGCCAAGATCACCCCACTGCACTCCAGCCTAGACAAGAGAGCCAGACTCCATCAAAAAAGAAAGAAAGAAAAGAAGGAAGGAAGGAAGGAAGGAAGGAAGGAAGGAAGGAAGGAAGGAAGGAAGGAAGGAAGGAAGGAAGGAAGGAGGGGAAAAAGGGAGGGAGGGAAAGAGAAAGAGAAAGAAAGGAAGGAGAAAAAGAGAAAAGGAAGGGAAGGGAAAAGAAGGGAAGGGAAGGGAAGGGAGGGAGGAAGGAAGGAAGGAAAAGAAAGTTGGTATAGGTTGACTGCATGCTATCCAAAATGCTTGGAACCAGAAGTATTTCAGATTTCAGATATTTCTGGATTTTGGAATATTACTTTACATAGACATAGTAAAAGATATTGGGGATGGGACCCAAGTGTAAACACAAAATTCATTTATGTTTCATGTGTGCCTTATACACATAGCCTAAATACAGCTTTATACAACATGTTTTTGTTTTTCAGAGATGGAATCTTGCTCTGTCGACAGGCTGGAGTGCAGTGGCCCAGTCTCGGCTCACTGCAACCTCCGCCTCCCAGGTTCAAGCAATTCTCCTGCCTCAGCCTCCTGAGTAGCTGGGACTACAGAAGCACACCACCACGCCCGGCCAATTTTTGTGTTTTGGGTAGAGACAGGGTTTTACCATGTTGGCCAGGATGGTCTTGATCTCTTGACCATTATCTCTTGATCTCTTGATCTTGTGTCCACCCGCCTCAGCCTCCCAAAGTGCTGGGATTACAGGCATGAGCCACCACACCTGGCCTATACAATATTTTTAACAGTTTCAAGGAGGAGATGACATGCACATTGTATACAAACTTCACAAGCTTTGTGTGGCATCGCGTCGTTCCTGTCTCTGAATTTGTATGACCCATAACAATCCCTTCCTTATACTTATCACACATAAGTACTTGACCATAAAAAGTGGCATGCCATCAGGACAGTGGAAAAGTGAAGTGTTCGTGGTCACTAAACAGCACGGCAGCGTTGCCTGCACGCCCAACAGCGGCAACTACATGGCAGGCCTTCAACTTCCACGCGGAACTCACTTCTCAGATTTTGGAGCATCATGGTTTTAGGATTTGGGGATTAAGGATGCTCAACCTGTACCAGCCTCCTGAAGCATTTTGCATGTAACGATTTCCAATGCAAATGTCACACATTGTCCTCACAGTTGGCAGTAATAGGTTTCCTCGTTTTTAACAGGAATCCACTATGGATTCCACTAACGGAAAAGTTGCTATTGAAGATGTGCCTGTTAAGCAGCTTGAAAGCTAAAAAGTGCCCTGGAGATCTTCCGTCCCAGTAGCTCCCAGCGTCCAAGTCGTCACAGCCTAAGTGCCTCATGCTCATCCCAGTATATACCTCCAACATGTGCACCGAAGGTTGAAAGCCATTTTTGCTACAACTAAGGACAAGTAGTGTGCTGCGATGTCTGTCAGTCAGAAGATGGGGCCGCAGGTCCTGTGTCTCTCCATCTGTGCTCCTCCTCCAACGTGTAACACATTCATCTCCAGGAGGAGCACAGAGTAATCCCAAGCAGAGGCCAGTGGAGGATCTGGTGGACCAGGCGCAGGTGCTCTGCCTGTGTGCCTGTGAAATACATCGGAACAGCAGGCAGAGGGACCAGCAAGCTGCCACTTGCTAACTGTGCAGTTTCTCAAGGATTCTAACACTTGCTTTTAGTTTTATTTATTTATTTATTTTTAGACAGAGTTTCACTCTTATTGCCCAGGCTATAGTGCAATGGTGAACTCTCAGCTCACTGCAACCTCCACCTCCCGGGGTTGAAGCAATTCTCCTGTCTCAGCCTCCCAAGTAGCTGGGATTATTAGCGCTCACCACTGCGTCATGCCAATTTGTGTATTTTTAGTAGAGATGGGGTTTCACCACTCTGGCCAGCCTGGTCTCGAACTCCCTACCTCAGGTGATACGCCCGCCTCAGCCTCCCAAAGTGCAGGGATTACAGGCGTGAGCCACCACACCCGGTCAATTTTAGTTTTAGGCTAGTGTTTACCTTCCAAGGGCTTCCAGCATCCCACAAATATCCTAAGACTTGAAAGTGTGAAGCTGATGAGACGCCCTGATTTTGTTCCTTTCCACAGATCAGGTGCCTGCGGCCCTCACACGTTCAGCGTCTTGGCAGAGTCACCGATGGAGTAGGGGAAAATCTGACGGGTACTTTACTCAGAGCTCTTTTTTCCCCACTTGAAACCTTTAACATTCCAAAACAGTGCAGACACCGGTGGGGCCCAACCACGTTGCAAGAGAGTGCAGGAGACAAGAGTCCCAGTCATCTCAGGGCGCCATCTGCTGGGTGGCTTGTCAGCAACAGAAATTCACTCCTCACCAGTCTGGAGAATGCAGTGCCAAAATCAGGGTGCCAGCATGGCTGGGTTCTGGTGAAGGCCCTCTTCGGGGGATTCTTCCATGGGTTGCAGAGAGCCAACTTTTCACAGTAGCCTCGCAGGGTACAAGAAAAAGGGAGAACTCTCTGAGGCACCAACCCCATCCATGGCTGCTCCCCTCTCACGACCTCGTCACCTCCCAAAGGCCCCAGCTCCTACTACCATCACCTTGAGAGAAATACGAATCTGTGGGACAGAATCATTCAGTCCCGTACAACAAGTTACATCCAAATA